GTATTTTACTTTCTTTAGTATCTTACTTTCCTTACTTATCTGCTGACATTAATATTCCATTAATGAGTGATAGAAATAGCTACGCATGGATGCTAAACCTATGAGTGGGGTTTTTTAGTTGCTTAACACAATTAGACAACCGAAAAACTGTGCAAATATATAGCAGTGTAGAAAAAAAGAGGTGAATAATGTGTTATTAAAATTATTTCTACTAAATATTTGAGAACAATTCACTACAAAGAGAAAATGGATTTTGACAACTAATACTCACCAAGGTGCAAAAAACAGGTCAGTTGAAATTGCATTCTTTTGTCAGGAAATAATGATTAAGTTGAATTCTGCTAGGTTAAAAAAATGGTTAAAATTAGTTGCTGATAGACTCGATCATTGCCATCAATTTTTAATGATTTGAAAATTTGTCTAATGGTTCTTACCCTTTAAGAACATAAAATACTTATAATGCCCAATCCCTTAAAAAATAAGAGTGCATATAAATTTTACAAATGTTTGTTTTCTATTTTGAAATCATAGACTATAATCATTTGTAGGAAATATAATAGGAAAGAAATAAAATTTCCTTTGCATATTTTTATTTTAACCTATTTTTGCCCATCCTATTATTTAGAAAATATTTAAATTATACAATTAGCATGTACTCACTATTGAAAAAAAAAGAAAAATCAGACAGGTAAAATAAAGGAATTATTATCCATAGTACCACCACCTAGAAAAAAGTGGTTACTATCTTGCTCTATGTCCTTCCATACTTTTTACCTTGCATGAAAATATTTTCCAAAAGTGATATATCGTATGCTTGTTTCAATCAATGTATCCCAGACATCTTTCCGTACCAAAAAATACATTTTTACATTAGCAAATTTCAACCTAGCGAGAGACATCAGAATCACCTGGGGACTTCCATAAACCAAACCTGTGCCCCCTTTTGAGATTTGGCTATGCCCCTCTGGACAGAGGGCCTCCCCAGGCCACTGTTGAGGGAGCCCCGATAGAGATGGGAGTACACATGTGCCTCAGTGGGCTGGGAGGCGAGGCAGTAAAATGCTCTTCTTCATCAATGTTTTACATTACTGAATAGTATTCCTCTGAAGGCAGGAGCCAGAATTTATTTAACAAAACCCCTATTGGTTGATGTGTACTTTGTTTCTAGTATTTTCCTGTTATAAATATTTTTGCTAAATCTTTGTTCATGTCCTTAATTATTCCCCAGGATATATTAAATGGTGTGGAAATAATGAATCAAAGTGTGTGTGCGAATGTGTGTGTGCGTGTGTGTGTTTGTAAAGCTTTTGATGTTACTGTCAAACTGCCATTGGGAAAGTTTGTCCCAATTTACAGCTGTTGACCTGAGCCCTTACCAACAGTGAGTATTATAAATTTTTAAANAGAACTGTTAAAACTCTGTGAATGCAGAGTGGGTGGGATAATCTGAACTATTTCTTGTCTGCATGGTTTGCCTTCAGGGCAGCTCTTTTATGTTAAAGTTGCACTTTTGTAACCCATAATATATTAATAGATTTGTTTATTGTTGGGAAGATTGAGTAAAACAAAGTAGAATCTTACTGGGGCTAAGGTCTGAGGTTAACACACATATAAAGTTAAATGCAAATACAATATGAGTCTATTAGAATATTTTATTGATAGCTGTTTATAGAAATAGTTATATTCTTTTAAAAGTATATTTGAACAAGGTAGTATAGTATCTTATTTATTTATTTAATTAATTAATTTATTTATTTTTTAAGATTTTTATTGGGGAATTGGGGGGATGGGAACAGCGCTGGGGAATTGGGGAAGGGGAACAGACAAGTTGCTGTCGTTTTGGTCTTCAGTCTAGTTGTGGAGGGCATTGCTTCACTGGCCCAAGTTGGCACCATCCTTGCGCTCTTCCCAGATGAGGCAGATCAGTCGCCGGCTTCTGGACGGCCACTCACTGCGGCTGCTGGCCGCTCACGCGGCTGCAGACCGCTCACACTGGCTGCTGGCTACATACGGAAGCCCATGGCAACCTACTACCACAGGGGCTGCAGCCTACGCCGTTGTCGAGACTCACAGCAGCTCTACTCCAGGTTGAGCTGTTGTTCAGCATCTTAGCTGTGGAGGGCAGTGTCACTGGCCCTCATATGTGGGATCTGGTGTCCCAAGTCAGCTCTTAACCAATGTGCCACTTGGCCAGCCCAGTATAATATCTTTTAAAATTCAATTGAAGGGTTAGAATTCCATTTGATTCTCAAGGCTTCAATTCAGGCACTGGTTTTCTCTTGATTGCAATTCAAATTACAGATATATTAACTTTGCAGAAAAAAAATAGTTTGAAAGACACAGGGCCCAGAATAACTAAAACAATTCTGAAAATCACTCTACTTGATATTAAGACTTACTGTACAGCGGCAGTAAATTAGAGAGTGTACTATTGTTAGCGGGATATACCCATCGATCAATGGAACAGAATAGAGAATCCAGAAATAGATCCACACAAATATGCCCAACTGATTTTTGAGGTGCAAAGACAATTCAATGTAGGAAGGACAGGCTTTTCAACAAATAATGCTGGGAAAATTGGACATCCATAGGCAAAAAACATGAACTGTAACCAAAACCTCACACCTTATGCAAATACTAACACAAAATGGATAATGGCTTTAAATGTAAAATATAAAACCATAAAGCTATAAAACTCCTATAGCTCATAGGAGAAAATCTTTGGGACTTAGGGCTAGGTAAAGAATTTTTAGAATTGACAAGAATGTGACCCATAAAAAGAAAAATTGGTAAATTAGACCTCATCAAAATTTAAAACTTTGTGAAGAGGCAAAAAGGCAAGAAACAGACTGGAAGAATATAATTGCAAATCACGTATCTGACAAAGCACTGGACCTAAAATATATAAAATGCTCTCAAAATTCAACATTAAAAAGTCAATCCAATTGGAAAATGAATAGACATTTCACTGAGAAGATACACAGATGGCAAATAAGCACCTGAAAAGATGTTCAACACCATTAGTCATTAGGGAAACGCAAATCAAAACCACAACCGGATAGCACTACATACCTATTAGAATGGCTACTATAAAAAAATAGCAGTAACACTAGATGCTGGAGAGGACGTGGAGAAACTGGATCACTCACACTCTGCTGCTGGGAAGGTAAAACAGCCACTCTGAGGAAAAGTATGGTAGTTTCTTATAAAACTAAGCATGTGCTTATCATACAATCCAACAATTGCACTCTTAGGATATTTATCCCAGAGAAATTAAAATATATGTTCATACAAAAACCTGTATACAAATGTCCATGGCATCTTTATTTATAATAGCACCAAACTGGGAACAATCCAGGTGTCCTTCAATGGGTGAATGGTTAAGCAAAGTGTGTGCATCCATACCATGGAAGAGGCAAATAAAAAGGAGTGAATTATTGAAACATGCGACAATGGGGATGAATCTCAAAGTCGTTATACTGAGTGGAAAAGGCCAATCTCAAAAGGTGCTATGCTGCATAATTCTATTTCTTGAATGATGATATTATAGAGATGGAGAACAGATTGTCAGAGGTTAGGGATGTAGGAAGGGGTGTGTGTGTGTGGATATAAGCGGGCAGGCCTGGGAGTCCTTGAGGTGATGAAACGGTTCTTTGTGTTAACTCTGCTGATGGTCACGTGAATAAAATTGCATAGAATTAACACACATATATATACACACACACAGATAAGTGTACGTACAACTGGTGAGATCTGAACGAGGTGAATGGGCTGTATCAATGTCCATTTCCTGGTTGTGATATTTTACCGGTTGCGATATATGCAAGATGTTACCATCGGATGAAAGGTATATGGAATTTCTCTACATTATTTCTCACAACTGCATGAAAGTCTGCAATTATCTCAAAATGAAAAGTAAGAAAACCCCAAACAATCTTCTTTCTCTCAAAATCACCACATCAGCCTCTGGATGGTGAATCAAGTAAACCCCACACTCTAAACTAATATACACAAGACCTGTTCCAGCTGCTCTTATGTACTTTTCCCTTGAAACATGAAAATGTATGCCAAAACCTGATTTCAACAGACAGGAGTAAGAGGATTGGCCTAAAATGAAAAATAATTACCAGACTATGAACTAAGCTTGGTTTCTCCTCAGTTTTTTCAATTGTAAAAATATAAAGAAAGAATTTTTTTATGGACTTGTTTTGCATCTAATGGATTTCTTTCCTTTAACCTGTCCTCCAAAAATGTGGGCTCTTGAAAAATAATGTTTTTTTCTCTTATGTATACATTTCCCACATGAACTATTCTTCTAATCTGGTCATTTTGTGGTTATTATAGGTCAATAATCACACATAGATCATAGTTCTACAGCTAAGAATATGATACATGTCTCATTCCGCACTGGTTACCAAATGTCAGTTTGAACAGGGGATTTT